GAAGGCAGTCGCTTAACCAACTGAGCCACCCAGGCGCCCCAAGAGGCACTGTCTTTATACGTAGTAGAGTAGAACTGGCATTGTAGGGAAGATCAAGGACTTGGAAGTCAGAGAAAGCGGACTCTGGCACTCACTCACCTTGACTTTGGGCCAATTACTTAACCTCCCTAAACCTCAATTTTCCCATCCTGTGAATGAGGATAAAAATAGCACCTGCCTTGTAGGTAGCTACTGGTTCTTATTTTGCTTCACTTCCGTGAATCTTATCGTTCTCATCTCTAATGACCTTTTACTTCCTTCTACCTCAGCCAGCCATTCCTATGGCCAGACGGCTAGACTCTGTCATCGCCCACACAAGGTGGCACCCTTGCCATTTCAATTTCAAACATCTACTCTCCACCCACTACCTCCCATGTCATTGGCCGAAGTAGTCTTAGCACTACATGTTTCCATAACCTAATCCTCCAGTCCATCAACCGCCACTACCCCTCTTCCCTTATTGGCCTCCTTTCCCTTCTTTGTGCCTGTGTCAGAGACCAGGCTCCCTTGTTACAGTGACTCGCTTGCAATACCCTCAGGGTCGTGGGATGGAGCCCCCGTCGGGCTCCGCGCACAGCGTGGAGTCTGCTTGTCCCTCTCCCTCTGCTCCTTCCCTTGCTCTCTCTTTCTCTCTCTCAAATAAATAAATAAAATCTTTAAAAAAAAAAAAAGATTTTATTGTTTTTTTAAGTAATCTCTACACCCAACATGGGGCTCCAACTCATGACCCTAGATCAAGAATCACAGGCTCTTCCAACTGGGCCAGCCAGGCACCCCTCTTACTTGGAATTCTTAAGATGGTTTTTGCTACTAGAAAAAGGAAGTTGTCCCCGTTTTCTTGCTTTTTCGGTACAGGCATCATTCAAGTGCGGGAGTTTCCCATTTGAAGCAATTTCCATTCTTCCCAACTGTCAAGTTCAGGAATGGGCATGTATTTGGGGTGGGGGAGGGGCGGCAGCTGGTGAGTCAGTCAAGCAGGTCACTTGCCCATTTCCCAAAATTGTAGATAGAGATGTGAATGAGGTTTGTGGACTCTAGCCCTATTGGGTTCCGACTTCCCAGGTTCAAACCTTGATCCATCTGCTAATTCTATACCCCTCACCTCCGAACTAGCATCTCACAAGATTATCAACTAGGAGTGTAGATGAAACCACAGACAACACACAGGGCCAGCTACCTCACCTTTGTGTGTAAATTTGTAATTCTGAGAGTAAAATGCCAAAAGTGAGTCAAAGACATGCTTTTCGAGTTAGCTTTTTTGGAAGTGAGGTGGGAAAGGAAAGGATGTGTACAGAAAGGCACAAGTCTAAGTCTAGGATTGAGTAGAAGTTGATCTGGGTGGGGATTTACTGGTGTATGTCAGAGGGGCAGGGGTCTCTCAGAGGCAGGAGGCCTTGTCTTCCCTCTTTGTTACAGTGGGAAAACAGATTACGGCTTTCAGCTTTATTCAAGGGCGACCTTCAGAATCTGCAAGTAAATGTTACCAGATTTTACCAGGCTGCAGAAGATGCCAGCCTTCTTGGAATCATTTCTTTTTCCCTAAATAGCATATTAAGAGTTCAATCCTGATGGTACATATCATCTTTGAGCACAGATGAATCTTTCTAGCGTGAGCCAAGAGAAACACACACTTGTATAATTAAGCATCACAAGTGCTAGAATCAGCCCCCACCCTGAATTTCCCCAACCATCATCTAAAAAAGAACATGGCTTTAGAAGGTAAATAACTCCGAGGGACACGGTTATTAGCCAAGTATCTTTTCTCTCATTTAATCTAGGAAGCCTACGTAACACACTGGAAAAACTGTAGTCTTGAGACCATTAAACTACAGACTATATTAAACTGCCAAGGTCGGGATGCCTGGGTGGCTCAGTCGGTTAAGCGTCTGCCTTCAGCTTACGTCATGATCCCAGGGCCCCGCATCATCCAGCACATCATCCAGCATCAGATTCCTTCCTCAGCAGGGATCCTGCTTCTCCCTCTGCCTGCCACTCCCCCTGCTTGTGCTCTCTGACAAATAAAATCTTTAAAATAAATAGGGGCGCCTGGGTGGCTCAGTTGTTGAGTGTCTGCCTTCGGCTTGGGTCATGATCCCAGCGTCCTGGGATCGAGCCCAGCATTGGGCTCCCTGCTCTGCGGGAAGCATGCTTCTCCCTCTCCCACTCCCCCTGCTGTGTTCCCTCTCTCGCTGTCTCTCTCTCTCATAAAATCTTTAAAAAATAATAATAAATAAATAAACTGCCACGGTCATGGATTCACTCATGCAAGAGCTGTGGTCTTTATTTACACAGCAGATGGGAGGACAAAGATCGAAGAGCCAGGCCAATGTTAACCCTTGGTAAGGAGTATGGTGGGGAGGCCTTGGGCAGGTCATTTACCAAGCCTCAGTACCCACATGTATTCCATGGAGGTAATGCCAGGCCCAGGGTTGCTGGGAGGTTGGCATGAGATCATGATGTGAAAGAATTTGGAACAGAGAAGAGCATAACCCAAAAAAGTCATTTTATTGTCCACCCTCCAAGCTATTACACAGGAGCAAGTGGGGGGAGGAGTGCTGCGTGGATGGTGAACATCAACAGCAGGGGTTTCTGGGGTTGTCACGGGCTAAGCACCAAGCTCACACTGGCCACAAGGCTGTCTACTAGATTAGAGACCTGAAGGAGTTTGAAGAAATTTATCATTTTATCTGGAACAATCTGTAGGGAGGTCCTGCTGCCATGTCTAAGATTCAGTGGCCATCCACATGGGTGGCCCCAAAGGCTCTGTGCTGAAAAGAGCTAATGGTTCCCAGATGTCACTAACAGTAAAAGAGCTAAAGGGGAAAGCTTCATTGTTTGTGGAAGCCAGGTGGGCCCCTGTGGAAGGCTGGAAGATGTCACCAAGGTCCAGCTGAACACCTACGGGGCGGGGGGGGGAGGGTCAGATGCCAGAGTTCTCATCCTCAAAGTGAGGGCAGGAAGAAACTCATGGAGCCGCAACTGAGAAATGCTCTTGGCACAGAACTTAGTCTAGGCCCAGCCTGGGATGCGGCTGTCTGCTAACTAATTTCTAGTAAGTTAGTTCTCACATTCCTCAGCAACTCCATTTAGAATCACTTTTTTTTTTTAGAACTGAGGAATCAAAAATTCCAAGCGAAAGGACTTCATTCATGAGAGCCTTCCCGAACCTTCTCAGCTTCCTTCCAGACTCTGAGGATGCAGGGAATGCCCAGCCTCAACTTCCTCCATGGGTCTTGCCCACCCCGTTTTCATTTTGCCTTTGGTAGAGGCAAGAGGGTGGCTGGCCAGAGTCTGGGTTAAGGCTAGACAGCTTCAGGCCATTCCTGGTATCTCCTCCATTCAGTTGGCAAAAAGGGACAACCCCATAGGACACCATATGGTCAGTCTTGGTTTGAAAGACCCTGCTGGTAGAGGGTAAGGGGACTGATTTCTAAGTAGGAGGGCAGCGGGTGCAGGGAAGGTGGGAGAAGCAGGCGGGGGTGGGGGGCCTCTATGGTTCCCATCCCTGAACTGCTCTTTTAACCATTTCATGTGCCGGTGAGTCACTCAAGTTGGAAAACTCCTGCCACAGGGCAAAGGTGCCAAGGAAGAGAAGTGTCGGATTTTACGGGGAACAGCAACGTGCCCCTGGCGCAATGCTCTTTAGTGACGGAAAGAGAAAAAGGACGGTGCAGGCTCTAGACCCTCTAGATTCACAGTAGAAAATCACGAGCAGGTTTGGAAAAAGGAATTCTCTTCTTCGGACTGAGGTTCAATAAAAGAACACATTTCTTCGCTCTGGAGACTGGCTTTCTGAAAAACAGGATAAGCATGATGAGGAAGAAGCGGTTTGAATCCTGACTCCACCGCTGCCTCGTTGTGTGACCTCAGGTGAGTTACCTACCCTATCTGAGTCCCACATTCTCATCTGTTCAACGAGGCCACTAATGCAACCTACCTCCCAAGTAGATGTTAGCTACTATTTTGCTAAAGAGGCAGGTCTTTGGGGCGTCCGGGTGGCTCAGTAGGTTAAGCATCCGACGCTTGGTTTCGGCTCAGGTCATGATCTCAGGGTTGTGAGAGCGAGCCCAGTGCTCGCAGAGAGTCTGCTTGAGATTCTCTCTCTCTCCCTCTCCCACTCTCCCTTCCCCCAACACGTACACACACACACAC